AGTTAGAGTAAAGACAGTGAAACGGTTGATCACTGACAACACGAGTGCACAAGGATCTTTAAACACTGATAAGTTCCAGTGCGTGCAATGCTGCAATACAGGAACACTCCTGATCGTGACACCCACCTATCCCCAGCGATGTGTATCTTTGGACGTCCAATACGGGACTTCATCCCCATCCATCCAGGGAAGTATCACCCTCACAGTACCTGGCGTGAAACCCTTCTGTCGCGAGAGGAGGCATTGAGGAACCGGCACATGCGCACTGCTGAGCGCCTCTCTGAGCACACTCGCATCTTACCTCCACTCGTCGTTGGTGACTGTGTGCGCATACAGAACCAAACGGGAACCCACCCGACCAAATGGGACAAGACGGGCATTGCAGTCGAAGTACTTCAATTTGACCAGTACGTCGTTCGAGTGGATGGCTCTGGCCGCGCCACTCTTCGCAACAGAAAGTTCCTCCGCAACTACATGCATGTGGTCCCACGCTCACCACTGACAATGATCCCGGGTGGCACCTCACCACCACAGCCAGTGCCTCAGAATATTCACACCCCCGAGCATACCAAGCCCAGCGTGACCTCGCCGCCCTTTCCTTGCCCGGATCTACCACAACAAGCTGGCGTTCAGGACCCCCAGCACACGATCCATCGATGCCTACTGTCCCCGAATCCGGGCAAGAATTAGCACCTGATTCACGCCCTGCTGTCGAGACGGTGGTTCCACAACCTCAGGCTCAAGCCACCCCGCGTGCTCTATGCTCGCTCCAGCCGCACAACGCCCCTGGCATACAAGAGCAAGATGCTCCCATGAGCGTGAGCACGCCTCCAGGCGGCCCTCGGCGATCAGCAAGACTATTGGCCAGACAGAGCCCCAAGCCAATTGACTCTAAATCTTAGTCTGATTCAGACTTTCATTGATCAATCATTTGTTCCTTGTTATATCACCATTATTTCTTGACATTACATCAGTCTTTTCTGTTCTACTCCAAAGACTTGGGGGGGCGTAGAGGAATATCATTCAGTAGCTACAAGACCACATGTGTGTGCCATCATTCGTATCTGTTCCTTGTGTCCATTACTATTATTTCCCTTATTTGTCAATCATATTCATCTGCTTTATTTCTGTTCCGTTTCTGTCCCAGTCATGCATCGTCTGACGTATGTCTTCATTGTGCTTGATTATTAAAGTCCTCGTCAAGTCACAAAGAGTGTTGACATTTAACCTCTCTTTATGTGTTCTGGCTGTCCAACTCACAACCATGTAGCAGCCAGTTCAAATCCTGATCAGGACATGGCACTGTGTCCTTGAGAAAGACACTTTATGCAAATTTTCCTCATTTCATCAAGGTGAAATTGGATATCAGGCATAAACAGTGAAAGATCCTATCTGCATGTCAGCATCTGACTGCCAGCAAAATAGTAACTTGCACTGGACGTTTCCCTGAAAGCTAAGATTAGAATATTTTTTAACATTATAACCTCTTGAGAGGTAATAATGAATTGTAAAGCACACAGAGCCTCCTTTCTGGAATGTACACATGAAATATGCAAT